ACTAATATAACTAATATTGCATGCCAACTATATTTAAATTCAAAGTAAAAAAAATACGTATTTACCTCAAAATCAATAGTTCTCAACTGGGGGTGATTTTCTCCCTCTCCCTCAGGGGACATTAATTAATGTCTGGAGACATTTTTGATTGTCACACTGAGAGAGGGGGCTGCTACTGACATCAAGTATATAAAAGGGAGGGATGCTGTTAATCATTCTACAAGGTCAGGGTAATTCTCCACAACAGTGAAATAGTCTGTCCTAATGTCAGCAAGTGAAAAATCCTGCTCTAAGTTGAGAAAACGGTCTTATTATCATTAGTTTCAAATTTAAAAATAAAATTAAACATCCACTATTTCTTTATGTAACCCACATACCAAGCTAATTTCTGTATCACTATCATCATGTTTGCATTATCTCTGAAATGAATGTTGGTACTTTATTTATACTTACTAATCAATATGCTAACTGATATAATTTACATACAAGTATAAATGTGATCAAGTCCTTTTAGTATATTTTATACTTAGTGAACCTTTCCTCAGTCTCTTCTGGTCAACTACCTGTTTTTCACTCCTCTCATTCTCATTGTACATCTACCTTCTAACACATATAAGGCCAGCTTATATCCTTCCATTGTTATAATTTTTTCATATATGTAATATATGTATGTATTATATATAAAACTGTTTTTATTTATATTTTTATAAACTGCCACTGAGCCACTATTGCTGAAGCTGCCATGCTAGAGCCACTGGCAGAAACAAATGGCTTTCAATTCATGACTAGCAACTCTCTTTTTTGAGGAACGTAACTAGAATCTATTTGTCAAAGAAGCTGAGAAGACTAGTTTGCAAGGGAATCTTGAACATGTAAATTTCAGACTTCTAACAACTCACAATAACAAAAGTAGAGGGAAGACTTGGGGTTGAGAACAAACAGACACTATCCAATGTATATTTGTTGTTGAGATTACTGTTAGTTTGTATTAGAGTTGTCATTGGTACGCAAAAATGAGTTCATGTTCAAATCATTTTCTCATTTGTTGTTCTTTTGTTGCTTGACAGTATCTCATTGAAACTTCTCTAAGTCAACTCATGTAGCACTAATGTATTCCCCTCAAAGCCTGAATGTTATTACATAATATGGATGAGTCATAATCTATCTGGGCATTTGCTTTGATGGGTTTTCACCTTGACTCTTCTTTTTGGCCATCAAAAACACTGCTGAAATAAATATCACACTCTTCATCGTTCTCTACATATTGGTGATTTTTTTTTTTTTTCCTATAAGACAAGGTCCCAAGTTTGGGATTGCTGATGAGATAGAATATGTTATATTTTCAATTGCTATATTGTTTTTCCATATAACCATAACACCTTATATTTTCAAAATCAACATAGGAAAGGACCACTTTCACCACATCTCTGCCAGCAATGTGTTATCTGGGATAGTCTCTTAATTACAATTTTTCCCAGGAAGCAAGCCACAGTAGAAGGCAACCCAAATATTATCCCAGCTCCACTGTAAACTTTACAGATCCTCTTACATCATTATAATGCATGGGGATTTTTGAATAATTCACAGTTTTTTAATATAAAATTATGAAAATTACTTATATCAGTGAAGTTGGAATAGATTTTTAGTAATATTTCAGCTAAAATAGATCAAATATTCAACTACATTTCTATTTTATTTTGCTGTTCTTTTTTTTCCTTTAAACTGGCTAAAAGTTTGGGAGAGTGTTCTATTTCTGTATTGCGCATTATTTCTAGTCAAATCAGTCACAGTAGGCTAATTTGTATTATGATTATTCTCAATCCCAAAATCTTAATGACTTTTAATATCATTTGTTTCTTGCTATATGTTTGTCACAAATTGGCTGGGGATGGGGAAAAACTTTGCTCATGCCTATTTATCCAGTTTGGGTGTCCGCCATCTGAAGCATTGCTGATGGTTGTGACAGGGGAAAGAGAAAACAGAAAATTGAAAATCAGCTCTGAAACACTCCTGCACAGCAATGGCACATACTATGTCCAATCACATGGCAATTAGAAATATTGACTAACACTATCAGAATAATTTCTTGGAATAATTATTATATATCTCTCATATAACTTGTCATGATTCAGCACATCATTTTTCAGTTGTCTTCTTGTTCCCTTATTGGTGACTTTACCAAATTTGAATTATTTCATGAGTATATTAAGACCATTAATTTTGAAAAACTGGGTAATTGGCTTGCTCTATGGATTGAAGAGTTATGTGGTCAAGCTATCTATTTCTATTTGTTACACTCTTTAGGTGGCTCATTGAAGGAATTGATTAATGGCATCAAAAATATTATGACAGTTTAATTAGTAAAATTAGGATAAATGGCATTAGTGTTTGCCATATTTTCAGTGTGATTGAAAACTAGCTGAAAAGCCCTTGATGGTTGCCATTTGGATTAAGTTTAACTTCATCACACTACCCAGATCATACCTGAAAATATTTGCAGATGTTGTATTGCTAAGATAGAGTTTGTGATTATTATTTGAAACTATATAACTCAAGGAAAAATCTTGGTAATTGAAATGTGCTGAGATTATAAATGTACATTTTCATGAAGGCAGCCATTAGTTTTTTTGTCTACAGAAAAAAATGATCTTGTGGACATTCTTTAGTATTGCAGCTTTCAGCAAATGGCATTAATATTCTGATCCCATATTGCTTGTTCTTTTACATTGAAGCAGATGTCAGTTTCATATGGATTCTGAATTTCATCCAATCTGTTCTTCAAATATAAATGTAATTACTGGTCAATGATTTTGGATAATTTATACATCTGCTGAAATCGTGGAGATTTTATTAATTATTTTGACTTAGAGTTTGTTCCCTTCAGAAAGCCGAGGATTTGGAACACTGTTACTTTGTATTAAGTCACTCTTACACTTAATAATAGCCACATGTGCTTAAGTAGGATTGGTGTGGATGATCTGAACTGTCATTATTCACAAGTCATAATCAGAAAGTTTATATACAAAGAGAGGCTTCCTTCCAAGTAAGGAAGACTTTGCACACTTATTTCATATACATTTGCAAAAGGCATAAGAATGTAGTATTCAGAAGATGTAAAACTTAAGCTTTTAAGATGGCTAAATAAAGTTAATATATTTTCCTCAGTTATGAGGGATTGTGAAAGTCACTAAAACCAACCTCCATCCAGACACCTGAGATATAGTTCTTAAACTTTTGCCTAAGTGTGACTCACATGATTTCAATAATAAGCTTATTTCTTATTTTGTATTATCAGTAGAAAACTTCTTAAATAAAGGACAGTAGTAAATATCATTTGTTAATACCTCTCTTCTTTCTTCTCCTCCTAGCGCTATCACTACTACTATTATTATTCTACTACCACTTCTAATACATATCTAACCAACATGATATTTACTATTGGTTAGTAGTTTGGGATAATTTACACATCAAATGAAGCTGTAGAGGCTTTGTTTTGATTTAGAGTTTGTAACCTCCCAAAAGCTTAGGACTTTGAGCCAAATTATCCTGTGTGAGGTCAGCCCTGGTTCTATATGTTCTATATGTGCTATATGTTCTATATTCATCATCTCATTTATTCTTCACAACAGATATCTAAGGTAGGAGTGAGACATCGACATTTAAAAAAGAGGACTGAGATTTAGAAAGCTTAAGAAAATTATCAAAGTCCCTAAGATTTTCAATTTAGGCTGCTTGATTATGAAGCCCACACTTTTAAACACTCTGTATATCTTTCTTTCTTCACCCTGGCCAAATTCTTTTTCTTATACTGGCATTCTCACCTGTAATATAAATGTCAGATAGCGGTGGAATGATTTATTAAATACTCTATTAAATACTTGCCAAATCACCAAAATCAAAATAGAATATCAATGAAATTTTCTGTATATTAACATTGTCTTCATCACTGCACACTAAGATTTTTAATTGGGGACTTGATAATCAGATAATTTCAGAAATTCTTATGTTTGCTGTATTTCCTGTTGTGTGATGATCCTATAGCAAGTTGGAACACATGGCACTAGGCCATCTCACACATTCTTAGTAGAATGTTCAATCTAATTAACAATTTGGCTTGCAACAGACAATGTTCTATTTCTCCTAACATGGACGGAACATGGTTCTGTGGAGGTTATAATCACATAAGCCGCATAGCAGTTTTAAATGCTCAGCATTAAAATATTTTAAATTGGGTTATAAATAATTTTATCTTGAATTGTCTCTATTAAAGGCAATGTAGACAGATGCTGTTTAATTTCCTCTGTTATTCCTATTGTTGTTGATATTGTTTTGGAAGCCTCTGTAATGTTTTAAACCTAAAACTCTTTCTTAAACCCTTAGACACAAGGTTATTATTATTGCTATGCTATTTAGAAAAGACTTGCCAGGAAAAATTGGGGGAGAGTGAGGTTTGTTCCACTTTTCAATTCAAAGAACTTTTGCCATCCTTTCCTTTTTTTATCAGTAGATCTGTGAGTCGAGCTAGATAGAATCAGAGATTTTGTAAAGATTATTTAATTGATCACCAAATGCATTTTTGTAAAAATAAAGACCCCTAGCTGAAGTTTTTAATCATTCATTTGGTTGTTACTAAAATGGTAGCTAGTACAGTTATCAGTCTCTTAAGAATGCAAAATCTTATCTCAAACCCAAACCAATTTTGCAGTAAGAGAGATTATTAAGTAGATGAAAAATTCTTGAAAATATGGATATAAAAGTTTCAATACCAAGTATCATGTAATTTCTAAATGACAATTTTACATTGATATGATTAGAAAAAAACAGCCATTAATAATTAAAAACAATACAAATATATGCATTAAATAAAATAAATTGAAAGAAGGCAAATAATGAAACACTTAGCTCTTCAGCTATTGTTCTATAATAAGACAGTTTTTAAAAAAAGGTTTCTTAATATGTTGGGTTTTTGGTTTGTTTGTTTTACATGTTTCCTGATCCAGATTTATATTTTTGAAAATAATATCTACTATCAACCTGATATAAAGAGCAGTTCGTTGCGACTGACATCTTCCGGAAAAGAAGGAATTATTTTTAATGGGATTGCTGACTGGTTGTATGAAGGTGAGTTGAATAGATTTAGTTTCAAAGGAACACAAATACATATTTTTATATAATATCTCTAAGAAAAATTTGTTCATTCCAGAACAATACTTGCAGCACTATTTCTATTTCTCATTTCCTCTCAAAATTGCCTTCATGCTTTCATTATCTTTGCATGTGCTCATATTTTAACTGGTTGTGATTTTCATCTATTTATATGATTCCATATTTGATATATATACACATACATATATATCTCAAATGTGGAATCATATAAATATATATACATTTTGTATATATATGTGTATGTGTGTACATTTTGTTCAGACTAGATAGATTTTATTTTTGGTGATGCTTAACTAATGAAAGTGAACGATGACCTTGCATCAATCCTTCTGGAATTAGATGTTAAATTTTTCTGACTCTTTGGAAAAGAAGAAACAAAAATCTTTAATAATCAAAGAGTACATGAAAGCCACTTGATTTTAGTCATTCCCATTAAGAACATTCTGTCACATTTTAAAAGTCATTGCATAAGGAACAAAATAAAACCTACCTAAAGAGTTAATTTGCAATAACTGTTGAATTAAGTTTTAATAACATCTGAGAATATAAAAAAGAATCAGATGATGAAAATCTTTGTTCATTTTGATCATGTACCAATTGTCAGCTGAGATATAGGTACAGAAATGTCTGCAGAAGACTCAAAGCTTAAGTTTAACACCAAGGTTTTAGACTCTGCAACTGATCTTGGCAAAATATGTCAAGATTTAAATATGTCAAGTTGGTATATTTTATTAGAAGTTATAAAGCTAAAATCATCCAGAAAATAAATTTTCTAGAGCAATATTAGCAAATGCAATCTCTCTACTTTAGTCAATATTTTTAATTCTGTACAAAAAAAAATTATTTAGCTTATTTATTCATTGACTATTCTCTTCTTCAACAGATATCATTGATGACCTACTATGTTCTAAGTACTTGTCTAGGTCTGAGATACATCAGAGAACAAAATAAAGTACTACTTTCAGAATTTTACATTAAGAAACAAATCTTACTGGGAGGAGCCATTTTACTAAAGAAGAAATATTATAGCCCTTGAGATATATAAGTATATGTGTACATATATATTTATATTTATATTTTTAGGTATATGGCAACATGAAATAATTAAATATTTGAGAGACCATGGTTTATTCTGAGGAGTAATGATAGCTATTATGGAAATATCAACAATAATTATGCTATAAAATTTTTTAAAAATTGAAATACCAAAATAGATAGGATAATTTGGTTGAGAACGTCAGAAGATTACTTATTTTCTTATTTCAAAAAGACAAATTATTGTAAGGGGCTAGGATGGCCCAGTGAATTGAAGAAGCAAATAGAGAACAAACATGAAACCTGAGTAGTTCTGGGAATCTAGGTAACCAAAGCTAACGATTACTTACCTAAAAGAAAAAAACTAGGTAAGATATGTCCTTTATCTTGAAAATTTTTATCTTGGAACTGAGTGAGCTCCTGAAAGATGAAGAAACCAGATCAACGCAGTAGGATAAGTTGTCAAATCGCAGTAAACACAAGATTCTATGAAAGAGCAAAGGAGAGAGATGCAGCCCATTCTAGAGATTTGCAAATATTTCACTAAAGGAGAAAATCTTTGAGTTGAGCCTGAAAGATTAGGAATTGTAAGACAATAAGAAACTAGGAAGAAAAATCCAAGCTAGAGTTAAAAGCTTATAAAAATTTAGTAGAGTTAAATAGCTTGGTACATGCCTAGGGAACTAAAATCTGTTTGTAATTGTTAAGGCAAAAAAAATTGAGGAAAAGGAAGACAGCAAGAACCAAAAGATAGTGACCCTAAGAATAATCTGAGATTTCAGTTATTTTTCTACTAGTAAATGGGGAAACTAATAGAGCTTGTAAGTGAGGGAGTGTCAAGATCAGATCTTTCATATAAATAGATTTTTTCGCTACAGTGCGAAGCTAGGAATGAACGGCAAAGAGAACTAGTGAGCAGCTATAAGGGGTTTTCTGTCTTCTATGAATATCTAATGAGCAAAAAAAATAGTATGGTTAAAGCAGGAAGAAGGAGGGAAGATTCTAAAATTGATGAGGCAGTAAATAGATATATCTTAGTGGTTAAATGGATGGCGTAGATGGAAAGTAAAGAATGATTCTTTGGCTTCTGGTTTGGGTCACTAGTAAATAGTGATGACACAATGAGCAGGCATGCATAAGGAGTAGTGAACTTCAAGGAGGAGAAGAATAGGTTAGTGGGAACATTGGTGTTTTGTAATATGCTAGCATGCTACATTGCATAACAAAATGTGATCCTTAAAATTGAAGTACTTTAAGTCAGCTGGGGTTATACTCAATGTTAAGTGTACTGAATTGGCCAATGACCAAAATGATGTCGGCTTCTGTCCTTAGGGAAGTCTTCATATAATTTATGATGTTACAATTTTACAGAAATTATAAGGAGAGAATTTAAGATCATTGCCTGAAAAATAAGGTTGTTTTTTGTTTTTTGTTTTTGTTTTTCCTAATTAGAGAATAACAATCCATGTATTTGAACTGAGAGTGAACAGTGTGTTGGGGATTAGGCAGGATAAAAAGGTAACCAAACCTTTGTGACAACACTGGAGATCTGACGCATTTCAAAGTGGAAATGGAAAAATTATAGTTTTTACCATTCAAATTAAACTCAAACTTTGGACTCTTATGTTCTAAGCATACTACAAAACTTCAGATGTGCTATGTGATTTAATCCTCACTACAGTAGTATATCTAATCACTTACTGACTAAACCAAGATTCAGGGAGGGTAGGCTACTTGGACATGTCCTCAAGAGCTCATGAGACACAGAGCTAGCCCTTGAATGTGTGTCTTCAAAGCTAGTGTTTAGTCCTAATCTGACCTGCCTGTCACAGTGCAATGCCTTTAATTTTTCCCTAAGAAATGACATACGTTATTCACCTAAGCCATTAGATTTCATTGGTCTGTTTCCTCAGCCAAAGACTCTGAACTCTACAGTCCATGAACTTATCACAATTCTTGCTTTATTTCCAAGAGAAGGTATACTACAAAGGGAATCAATGTTAAGGTTTTGAAGAGGGATTTAGGCAATTCATATGTCGTTGATTTTCCCTCAATATTTTACCTGGCTATGTTTCAAGAGTCCTCCATGTACCTTATTCTCGCCCTATAACTTTGTTTGTCCATTGTGCCAAGAGCTCCCAGATTCCAGACCTTCTCTCCTCTCTTTAAAATACTCACCAAAACACAGTGAGTTCTACTAAGAATTTATATGATCTCAACAGTATGTGTGTGATATCCTAGTTTGGAGATTTCATTTTTATTACTTTGTAGAAATCAATCACAATCTGAATTAGTGCGTGGGAGACTCAAGAAGTAATATATAATATTTCCACTCATTTTTTATATTAAAATTTGCCTTCTGTAAATGTCATAGAAAAAAAGATTAGATAAGGAATCACATGAAAGATAAAAAAAAAAAAAAAAAAAAAACATTTTCATGGTAAATTTTAAGGGCATGCTTTAATCTTTTTAGGCCCAGACCAATCTATAAGCATGGCTGTTGTTCCCAAACAGTTACTAATGTCGAATCTTTAAGTCTTTGAAAGTATCATTTTAAAGCCTCTTCGTCTTTATTTCCAGCATTATTCAATTTTTAAGGAATGTGAAATCAAATAAAATATGTATTTTAAAGAGTTAGTAAAGTTTAGAAGAAAAATAAAACACCATTTTAAATATAATTCACATAAAGAACATCTAATGTTATTCATATAATTAGTGTATTTAACATGGCAATTTAACTAAATAAAATTTCAGATCAATGTTTTGTTAAAAAAATAAAATTCACACATTTGCCAAGTTTATAACTTAAAATTTTCTATAAAGTATTTAGTCTATTAAATAGAAACAAAAAATGACTTCTGCTTTCAATTATTTAATTGTGTAGAATATTGGAACTAATATGCTTAAATGATTTATAAATACATTTTAGAATCTCATATTTAAAGGAATTCTTTTTTGAAATTTAATCCAATAGTTATTGAATACATATATCTGTCAAGCATTATCTCAGAGCAATAAGATGAGGAGTAAGCATTTCTGTTTTGGGTACTTCTAACTTAGTGGCATTAAAAACTGTAAATAACTAATATATAAGGAATCATTGGAGCATTGTAAATAGAAATATAAATAAAACTACATGTCAGCATGCTAAATAGAAGTATAAATAGAATTAATACTGATGAGATGGATGGATATAGCCTTATAGAGGAAATGGTCTTTGTATTGAGATTTAAGAAAGACAAGAGTAAACAACTGAGAGACAAAATTCACAGGATGAACAATATCTTTATCAACAGATTCTGATTATTACCTTTTTATTAGTTAATGAGAACAATAAAAAGGGCTTATTTTCACTGTTTTTTTTTTTTTTTTTTGCTTTCTCTTGGACACAAGAAGTCACAATCATTTTTCATTGATTCAACAAATATTTATTGAGTGAGCACTTACTAAATCTCAGTAAAATTGGACTGTGACAGATAAACAGTCAAATAAAAAATTAGAGATGCAGCTATAGAAGCCAGAGTAAAATAAGATAATGGACAATGCTAAGTCTCTGGAGGGCAGACAAGCTAAGGAGTTCAAAGTTACTGATGGATTGCGACTAGAACTTGACAAAAGCAAAATTAGACAATCGATGGTACCAGAAGCAAGATTGCAGTGGAGAGGTATAAAATGAGAAGTGAGACCATTATGAATATAGACAATTCTTTCAAGAAAGTTGAACGCAAGATACAGACAATAAGTGGAATAAAAAACAACCACAGACCCCCCCAAGGATGGCAGTAGGATCCTCAGAGTCCTATCTAAGTCAATAAACTACAGATGGATAAAGTTAGCTTAATTTTTAGAATACCATGTTAATCTAAACACAATAATTCTATATTAGTTAGTTTTCTGTAAGTGCTTTGTGATGAGGCTATGTTTTTAAATACCTGTGATATGAAACGACATGTGTTAAAAATTTTGTCTGCTCTGCAGTGAGATTTGCTAAATCAGTGTAATCAAGACAATAAAAAGACCAACCTATGTTGAAATGAAGTGGAATGCAATTTGTAAAAATACTTTGTTTATAAATAATATAATAAACACAGGAATTTTCAGTCCATGAGTAAAGTCCTTATTAGTTGCAATTAAAGAAGAGTGTACCTTATCCAAAAGGATTCTTAAGCTAATTTGTTCATGATTCTTTTATTTCCTTCCCATTTCAGTTAGCTTTGTTTTTGTACCTGAAGGAAGTCACGTAACTGTGTGTATTACTTTGCTATTTTAACATTTTTCTGAAGCACAATTTTAGGCATAGATTATTCTAAAATAAACGAGAGTAGATGACATCAAATTTCTAATGAAGGCGCCCTCAAATCCCAGCCACTGTAATTCTTGAGTACTTTTTGCACAAATACTTTAGCACCAACGAGGATGGAACCCGCTTCTTAGAAACCTGAATGTTAATTTTGGGCAATACGATCTTCGTGTATCTTCAAGAGCCTCAAAGACTTAAGAGTTTACACTCATTTGGCGTTTAGTATTTTTTTTCTTCAGCGTGTCATGTGGTTGTCTCCTCATCTGAATTATATGTTATTTGTGTAAATCAGGGTGAAGATCATAACTGAAGAAAAAAAAGAAGGCACATTCAAAATAGTATTCAATGTTTACCTGTGAAGAGGCCACTTATCAAAGACAAGGGATATGCAGAAACCCGTGGCTAGTAATGGCTTAATCATTAACAGCTTAAGTGGGATGGAAAGACAGATATTAGAACCTAGAAGGAAGAAATTCTGTAGTTTTCACAATAATGAAAACAGTGAGTTTTGATTGAGGAACACAGTCAGACCCACCTGATTTCAAAGGGTGGGAACCCCCAAAATAAATACCATGCACTAACTTTCTTTTATTGGATTTGTCTGGTTTCATGTTGGTCATATCCAACAAAAAGACAGAAATCATGGGCGTATCTTATTATTCAAGTAAAAATTTTCTGTCGCCAGAAAAGGAGCTACTTTTGCTACTGTTTCATTGTAGAGTGGTATTAGTCCGGTTATTTATATATACATGCCTAAAATTAATAAGTGCAGCCAATACATGTGCTTTTTTATATAAGGTTTTGAGGAAAATACCTCAATTAATAAAAGAAATAATCTTATCATGGGGTCCCTTCATCAACTTCTGACTAGACAGGTTATTTACCTGGTGGATCAAACCAAAACTTTACTCCTGCCAAATTGTATCCCTTTGCTTCTTTTTCTTCCTGAAAATATTAGGGTATCAGTTTTCCAGTGAAATGGAAATTGGAATATAGAAATACGAAATTGGAAAAAGATGAAATTGGACAAAGGAGTATTTTTGAAACTGCTGAGTTCCAAATAAGTATATATTTTGCCCTTCTTCATATAGTAACAATATATTTTCTTCCTGGCAGAAAAGGTTAATCATCAGACTCAGCTCAGTGACTATATTTCTTGTTTGCTTTTTTTTTTTTTTTTTTTTGCCCAGTTATATTTTGCCCAAATGGTCAGGGGGAAATTTCAGTTTCCTGTTGGAGGCAATCATCCCTTAAACATTAGAACTCCTAAACCCATCAAGTAAAAGAGAACGATACAAGTAGTGAAAGAGAACACTACCCTTCCACTCATTAGTTCTTAGATCTGTGCTTCCTGGCTATGCAAGAGGGACATGTGCATGCTGTAGGATGGCATCTCAACTTCAAACAAATAGTGCCAAACCCAGATAGAGCATGCTATTTCACTCTTCTATCAAGCCAGGTACATGATGGGGAACATGATAAAACCAGTGAATTCCATGGGTCTGAGCCCATTGTTGTTCTTTTTGCTAAAAAATATTTCCTATTTGGAAGTGACATAGTGCGGGTAATCAGAGTAATAGGTAAGTTATTCTGTAAGTTCATGAATAGCAGTAGTAACAGGACTGCAGGCAGCAAAGGCATATCCATACCTGGAATATGTGTCTTAGTATGTAATGACAAAATGTTACCTCTTCTTGATGGAAGGGTGTCTATGTAATCTACCTGCCACCAGGTAGTCAATTGGTCCTGCTAGGAAATAATGCCACATAAACAGTATAGTGAAAACCACAATCATTGGCAGGTAATAGAAGGAGCCAGAGACAAGCTCATATGTACTTGGTAGTCACACTGCTCATCTGCTTATTGAGAACCTCCTCTGCTATCATTGTGTTTTGATGGACGTTAAACAGAATACTAATGTCTTCACATTTTTTTACATTTTTACTATGTCTAATAAATCATGCACTTAATTTTCCCTAAACTTTCTTGTCACTACTTTTCTAATGTTACTTTTCTCATATCCCTACTCATGTGCTCATTTATTAGTTATTGTGTATGAGTCAGGCTGGATCCATGATTCAAGGCAAGCAGTAGTAAACAAAATATCTTGTTCAAGTCTGCCAGCTTGGAAGATTTATATGTATTATAGTACTTTAATGCCATTTTCAAGTCAGGCTGTAGTATGGAACCTATTCAATTTCAGCATGTTCAAGTGCCTCATGCAAACCTGGTCATAAACCAGGCCTGCATTCGTTCCTCCTTTACTAACTTGTATTAGAAAAGACATCATGAGTCATAGATATGAGATGAAGGGAGAGGGTAAAGTAGCAGATGCAATACCATGGGTAGTCCTATATATACTACTTCTGTTGTTGTTTGTGTTTAGTTTTATGGTCAGTGAATCCGATAACATTCAGTTAATGATGGGCAATATGGGTTGCATAGTCTTTTGGTGTTCCATGATAAGAGCTTCTGCCAGAGCCCAGTGGAGAGCAGCTTTTGAAATAAAGAATATTTATCTGCACAGGAAGAATTGGTCTTTCACTAAAGCTTATAATGACTATACTTTGATTATCATATGATGAGAGTTAGAAGCTCCACACAGCATCTCTGTTTACCATGAATCCTTGCATTGCCATTGTGCCTGCTGGGTAGCAAGATAAAGATGGTAGGGAAGGTTATGCCATGGCTTTGATCTGATAACTAGCCTTCTGTTGCTCAGATTCTACAGGTCACTGGGAAATAGAACAAGGCAGTGCATGTGAATGTGGTGTATATTGTTCTTCAAAATCCACAGTTCCATCCTTATTTACCTTTGCGTTGGTACAGTTCAAACAAATTTTCTCTCATTTTACAAGAGATAGCCTAGTGTATCCCAGGCTACTAGATCTCTAAATTCTTCTCTAAGGATTCAAATTCTTAAACTTTACAGGAATTCATCATCCCCTCTGACTTTATGCCTTTATGGAAAAAGGTTGCCTCTGTCAACAAGAAGACTTGTGGGAATTTTGAGGTTCAAATTCTTCAGCCACAAAATTATACATATATGACAACATTCCACCAAGAAATGTGTTATTTATGAGACTGATTCGGAAACTCTAAGTATACACGTTTACCCAAGCAGTCATCCTGTGTGTCAGTGTCCCAATACTTCTCCACCAGTATCTTTATCTTATCCTTTAAAAAAGCAGGTGGAAATGAGCCCCTGATGTGTTATAGCTCTGCAACCCTTACTATGTATGTTTTCCTGAACATCAGACATATCTTCTCCTCTGCGGAAGAGAGAGACTCTAGATGCCATGGTGAACTTTTGTGCATTTCTAATTTTGCAGTCATGGTCTCAATTTTTTTTTTCCTAAGTACTCTCTCTGCAGCATCATAAGAACCATATAAACTTCACTTTACAATCTTTATAGTTGCCACCGTTGTAGCACCTAAGTGTCACAACCACTTGTCTTTCCAGAGCCTTTCCTCTCTATCTGCATTTCATTCTATGTTATAATCAGTGACAATTGATTACTCATGATTCCATCCCTTGCTATTGATTATTTATGCTCTAATTTTCCCCTGGACTTATCATTAAATCAAAGATATAGATATAGATATGGCTATATCTCCAACCTAATCTCAAAATCTAGTTTTAAAGGTCTCTTTTATCAGTTTACTGCTACTATTAATCACTGTATCCCAAAAGGAAAGAGATGGCACATTCAATACTTTGAAGAGGATTTATGTACAAAAAGACCATTTACAAAGGTGAAGGTATAGGGTAAACATAAAAACAGAGCTATAATCTAGACTAGAAGCAGCAAAGCTATTACCACCCCAATGGCCTTAGAGATGAACCATTACCACATACAAAAGGAGAAAATTGAGTAGAGTTGGCTGCATTGACAGGAGTAGTAGTGTCATCATTTAAAACACACTACAAGCCTGAGGTGACATTTTAGAATAGACTTAAAGATATAAATACTCTAACTCTTCACTTCTTCTAATGGCCATCCTCTGGAGAACGTGGGAGTTCTTTTGATGTAGCTCATGTGGGTTAGTATTCTGGGCCAGAAAGCAGGTATAAAATAGTGGATAGTGAATCTGGAGTCACATGAAAGATATCCAGTGTATTTCTTATTCTACTTTATTAGAGCTTAAAATAGTTTCATGAATCTAGTAGGTATTCAACTTGTTTATAGAGGAGAAGATGGGAATATGACTGAATGCAGTATGAATGGTGACATGATTTTCTGCCATATTTCAGTCTTTGATTATTGTTCTCATTCTTTTTACTCTGATAATTCTTTCATCTTCTCTGTTCACATTGTTGACAATCCATGAAATCCTGACTCCATTACTTTGTTTCTTCCTTCCTTTGCATCCGCTTTTTCTGGGATTAAAAGGGTAACTCAGAAATAGAGAATGCTCTATGAAGTTGATAAAATCGAACGCATTGTATAGAAAATGTACATATACAATGGAAATATCAAGGACAGATGTTTGTGGGTCACTGAGCCCACATCTCTACAGTTGATTTCAAATAACACTTGTTTATTCTAGAGGAACTTCTGCATTCTCACATTGCCCACTGGTGGTCACCAGATGGAGAAAGGCTTGCCTTCCTGATGATAAATGATTCACTGGTGCCTAACATGGTTATTCCCCGGTTTACTGGAGCATTGTATCCCAAAGGAAAGCAGTATCCATATCCTAAGGTAAGTAATGTAGAAGTGCTAGTTTGTTCCCCCTTTCTGCACAAGTGACTTGACTGATAATATTCTTGCTTCATGAACAAGTTGTCTTTGGAGAAAAAAAAGACGCCCCCATTGTTGACAGACACATCATTTTAGAGCTTGCAGTAGCCTGTACACAGTGCTTGCATAGGAAGAGCTAAATATAATTTGGGCTGTGGGAACTTTTACTTGGCTGGATTTCTTTCCCTTTGATGGTCTTGTTTTTGTTTTCCCTCACCTTCCCAGTTGAAAGAGAGTGAGAAGAGATAGGGGGAAGCACTGATGCCAAGGCAAAGGCTTTTTCTTCAAGGTCTATTCTATGAGTTGTCAATAGGTTTTATAGAGGAGGAAAAAATACCATGGTCAAATATGTTGGAAACTCTTAGTTAAAAAAAAAAAATCTAGCGTCTTTCATATGATATCTTAGAGCACTTAATGTACTATATGTTAATACATATTATAAATCTATAAAAAGTAGACTGAGCATAAAGAATCTCCAGAAGCATAAAGAATCACCAATAAAGAATAGTCTAAGCATAAAGGATTTATTAGTATTAACATTGGTACTATTTTGGCAGAGGAAACTCTGGAACATACTTTATAAAAAGCTAGGGTAGAGCCATAGCCAGGAGTAGGAAGGATAGATGCAATTGTTTTATTGAGTGAGGCAAATACAGAAATCCAGCCAGAGAGCAAACTATGTTCAAGTGTTGGGTGAGGCCTCTGGGAGCAGGTTGTAAAAACACCTAGAGTGTATTGGTTTTTCTTGTGCATGCCATTTTAAATCACTTAAGATCTTTTTTTTTAAGTTTATTTTCTCTATGTTTACATAACAAAGAAAAAATCTCATTAGTGAGGACCCTATGCATTAATCACGTAGCAAAGATGTCTTATAGAAAACTTTTCAAATTTCGCTTTATGCATTTTAGCTCTTAATTAGGTAAGATATGGCTGCTGATTTAATTTAGAAGCTGTTTTTAAGCCACTTTTTTAGTGAATTGTATTGCGTGTTTACCATCACAATAATTCTATACTTTTTAATTTGCAACTTACATTAAACAGGCAAAGTACTGGATGGACTACCTATCACATTTTATTCTACGATTGCAATGAGGGTGTGGTCAGGGTGGGGTGTATTTTTTTCTTATTTTTCTATTATCTTTGCCAGACTCAGGTTATCCAAGGTGGAAAAAAAAGGTTTAAATATAGAGAGTCAGGAATAAGAAAGAAAAGAATAAGAGAGTCAGGAATAAGAAAGAAAGGTGGGAAAAAAAAAGGTTTAAATATGGAGAGTCAGGAATAAGAAAGAAAAGTGTTTCCTCAGTGAGATTCTGTACTGTCTTTCTTTCTCCCCATCCTATCTTCCTTCCACAGGGTGTAGTATTAAGTGACTGACTGACAGCTAAGGAAGACACTGAGAGTGAGAGGAATCAGATCTCGTGATTTTGAAATATTATTTTTAGGGTCTTCTCCAGACGTAGATTAGAAGTCATATATACTCATTGCTCTTCAAGAGAAAATGACAACTTGACCTAACAACAAAATAAACATTTTTGCTAAGAGAGTTTTATTGCACCCCAAGAAAAGTACTTATGACTTCTCCAATTATAGATTTAGCCATGTTTTATGGTTGACAGTCTGTGCCTGCACGGCATACTTGCACCTGCTTTTTTCAGAGAAAAATTGAGATGGCTTCTCAAATACTATTAGCTCTCACATAATTTGATTTACTTATTAAAATGAAAGTTCACCTGACAATTTAGATACAAAATGAAGAATTAGTGGCATATTGTGAAAAGCATATGTCAATAGATAAGATATTCATACAGACATGTTCAGTTAGTGAAGTGCACAATGGGAATAAAATCAGCCCTAGGGAAGAGACAACTTTTTATAATTCATTTCTGAAAAAAAGTGAGGATTTTAGGATTCACACATAAGAGCCTTATGCAAAAGCTACTCTTCATGTCTCCTCAGTTATGGACTGGTAAACTTGAACTTGGTGCTTGAACTTGGACTTTCCTAGGACTCATAATTTTTACAAGACCAATGCAAACAAATGAATAAATAGAAGCATTGAAAAAATGTAAATACATCAACAATAATTCAGAAGATACTTGGTTGACAAATCTAGATACTTTATTATTTAGTGAGGCATTATTTAGTTATTTAATTATTTCTTAATAGTAAAGCTAGGCATGAAATAATATGATTATTTATTAATCATATAAAGCATGTGTGCTAATAATATGCTTTGTTTGCAGAAGGACTCTTTACATATTTTCCTCATTTTGTTCTTTTCACAATTGCCTCTATTTTCTAAATAGACAAACTGAGCTTCTAAAAGGCTGTCCTTTTATAAAAGTCACAGTTATTTTAAGAACAGGGAAATAACTCAAATTTATTGATTCTGTCCCTTTCTATAAAACTACGAAAGGTTAACTTGTATCTCAGAAAATGTAGCTGGAATCAAAATATCTCCTTGTCAAGTTAACAAATTTATGCAGAGCTCTGTTTGTTCCATTTACTATTAATGGCTTAGCTATATATTAGTAGCGTTCTCAAACAGCCTCACACGCACACACGCACACACACACACACACTCTCTCTCTCACAAATATATCTGTATATATATATATATACACACATACATATATACACACAAATATATGTAATACATGATGTATATAATGCATGATAGATATAATACATGGTAGATATAATACTTGATGGATATAATATCTGATGAATTCCCTGAGTGTGCGTTAATAACTACCACTTAGAAGTATTAAAAATAAACAGATATTCTAGTGGCCATAGCTAAGAGAAAGAATCTCAAGTAATCAAGTGGCTGTCAGTAGGAATACCTGCCCAGGTAATTAAGATAATAGTACTCAAAGAAACTAAGTCTAGGTTTTGGTTCTTGTTCCAGAATAAATTTCAGTATCATGCTGGATATATTATTTGAATTTTTAAAGTCTCATTGTTGTCTACTCTGGTTAAAAAAAAGTTTATTAGTTTCCCACTAACTAATGTGTTATTTTGATTTGCTCTTACTTATGCAATAAACTTTAAAAAAGTGTTACTTCAGACATTGAAATAATGTCTAGAGTTCACATTAAATCACACTTTAAATTAAACTAGATTAAAATAAGTGCAGAAAATACCAAATGTAGTCAGATTTACTAATGAAATACTTACACAAAACAAACATATTTGTATTTTACTTAATTCAGCATGATTTAGAACTCATAAAATACCCTTCATTAGCAATTCAGCATAAAAGAGATGCACTGTTCTATCTTAGTTACCTCAGGTTAATGTTCTTAATTAAAACATTATCTCGTTTAATGACAACTTAGTTGCCAGTAAAATAAGGTTAATTATTATTGAGGCTTGTGTTTCAGAATCATAGAAAAAGGATTCTATGAATTTGCAGTCTTTGTGGGAAATGTGACTGTAAAAAGCACATAAATGAACTCCTCCAATTTGCAAACTATTGAAACAATTCAAATATTAAAAGGTACAGATGAACTTGCAATGTGCACTAATTTCAAAGCTCCATGGAAAGATAAAAATCTAATTAAGATATAGAATGCTAGACAGCTGAATTTGGGAAATAGCCTGACATTTTTTGTATAAAATTAGGCACATGTGTATACAACTTTTAATTTAATTTGTTTTCAATTAGACTTAATTGAGATATCAGTGATTTTATGCAAGCATAAATGTATACTACAGATATGAAAAAAAACTTTCTTAAGATACAATAATAACCATATATATCTTAGACAAAGTATAATATAAAATTATGTAACATTGCTAAGAACTTATAAAAAGATCAAATTAATTTAATTTCTTTTTAAAATCAGTTTATTGAAAGAAAAAATATACACAATTTTTCATTAATTGTAAAAGTCAATTTCTTAACTCATTTTTAATTCACTACTATATACTATTTTAGGCACTTTTATAAATAATCTTTTTTTGTTAGTCCAGTTAACAAAACTATAAAGTATTTTTATCTACAGAAAGGAAGCCTACTTTGGCACAAAACTTCTGACTTGTGACCTTCTCAAAGGTGTCTTATTTTTGATAATTTGATAAAATATTGCTTGAGGATCTTTTGTTAAAGACCTGTTCATCTCCAGTAAATAACAGTAAAATTTGAACCCAAAGTTCTCTGACTCACAGATAAAGCTAAATCAGTTCACAAAATGTCCTTTTACCAGAGGTGTCAATCTCATCTGGGAAATTTTTAGGAATGTAAAAATGTACCATCCAGAGATTAGAGACACTGGAGGTGGGCCTCAGAAATCAATGATTAAGCAAGCCCTTCAGGCCTTCTGGGCGATTCTGAAACAGTTTAATCTTGGTAACCACTGAGCTATTTAAAAAAAATTATCAGATAATTAAAATTAGTAGGCAAATTTTGATAAAGACACTATTAGTTATTAATCAGTGTTTTATTAAAATTTTTATACTAATTGCTATTATCTGAATTTTGTTAAAACACGGATTCCTAGGCTCACCTTAAAGATTCTGATTCTGGGCCTAAATATAAGCCTGGGTGAGACCCTTGAATTTGTGTTTCTAAGGTTCCAGGTGATATTGATTGATGCTGCTAGTTAAAGGGCAACACTTTAAATGGCACTTCTAAATACTGTGTCCCAGCTCTAAATTTTAACATACCTGATCAAGCAAGCTAGAGAAATGGATAGACTAAAAAATCTACACATATGAATAAGGCCAATATTTTCAAGGAGGAACATGGCAATTTAATTAAAGCAAAAGTGATGTAAAAGAGAGCTCCTAATTGTAGTAGAGCATTGCCCAAGACAATTATTTCCAGGCACCAGAAGGTTTTAGAATAACAAAGAGGCTTTATAAAATCTGATGCCAGAGCTTTCTCTGTGAGGCAGGCTCATAGCTTATCTTCCAGGAAGCCCTTTACTATATGAACTAGTTCCACAATCTCTCTTAATAATCACTGCATTTCTATAGTGAAAGCTTTACCTGACTTCTTTCTTTGGCTCAAAACTTCTGACCTATATGTGATACACTCCTACAGACATGCTAGTCATTTTTCTTTGTAGACATTTTTTTAGAGCAGTTTACAGTTCGCAACAAAATTGAGGAGACAAAAGATACTTGCCATATACCCCGTTCTCCCACACATTTTTAGTCTCTCTCATTATCAACATTCCCCACCAGATTTATACATTTGGTACAATTGATAAAAATCTATTGACACATTATTGTCACCCAAAGTCCATAGTTTACATTACAGTTCAACCTTGGAGTTGTATACTGTGGGTTTGGACAAATGTATAACAACATGTATCTTTCATTATGGTATCATACAGAGTATTTTCACTATCTTACAAATCCTCTCCTACTTACCCTGTTTTTCTTTCTTCCTTTCCCTTTGTGCTCATTATTACTGATAACCTAACAAACAGTTCTTGAGGAGCTATTACTATTGGTGAATGCATTATATTGCTTTTTGTCCTAATTTAACTCTGGATCTTGTTGATGCTGATTCCTTGAACATGGTTCTTTCTTTGCCATCTTTAAATTGGCTGTATCATTTTGTTTAGATTTCTGTGAGGTATTTTAATTCAACTCACTTTTAATTACCTTTTTTTTCTCTGTATATCTCATATGATCTTCTTTTAAAGTATCAGCCATACCACAATGATATCAGCCTTTCTTTAGAAATATGGAGTCACAAGTAGTCAACTGATTCTGTTAATCATTTGTTCACGTAAACATTCTTTTATTCACTCATCAACGTGTTGGTGGTACTTTGTTGGAAGTTTCCATTTCTGCCCCTAGAGTTCACAGTGTATTTAGGAAAATAAATTACATGTCCTCATCCTCACCACTGTCTTTCTACTGTTCATGCTAGGTACTGAGTGAGAACAGTCTGCTCATGGCCCACCTCCCAAGGGTCACTTGTACTCCATCTAGTATTCATAAATGTAAAGGAAATCTTAGGGTGATTAATACATGGAATTGATTAAATATTGTGGAATTTTAAGCACATGGCGCCTAGATTGGTTATTTTCTTTCTTTTATTTTCTCTTCTCTTCTCTTCTCTTCTCTTCTCCTCTCTTCTCTTTCTTCCTTCCTTCCTCCCTTCCTCCCTCCCTCCCTCCCTCCCTCCCTCCAGACTTATAATTTAATACCTTCAAGCCTTCCAAAATTGAAGGCAAATTTAAATCTAAAGTAAAAACACAGCTCCTAGTAGTGCCTGTGTGTATGTGTGTGTGTGTGTGTGTGTGTGTGCACGCACGCACACACTTTACTGCAATGCATTATACTAGGGATGTACAGTGTATCTTGCATAAAAGTTCCATGAAAACTGTATATCTGATTCATATTAGTTTTCCTTCATAAACTAGGCTGCAGAATGATCTAATTACATTACATACTCTGGAATATTAGCTGTTATTTGCTCCTGTTTGTTTTACTCTGAAGTCTCAAACATATCTGTCAGTTTTATCTGCTGTGGGCAAATACAGCGTGAGGCACTCTCTCAACTCAGCAGTTTAGAATTAGAAGCAGCAATCTACAAAAACAATTGAAAGCAATCAAGTTGTTGCATTCAAAATCACTTCACTTCAGAAAGATTTAACTCCCCTCTCCCCCATTCTAACACAAAACTGTAAAAGAATCAAAATGCATTTTCTCTTTTTTTCCTTAATATATTCTAATGCTTAATGTGTGTGTGTGTGTTTCTTTTTCTTTTTCTTTTTCTTTTTTTTTTTTTTGCATTACAACTTTCATTTTCTCAAAGGCAGGTCAAGTGAACCCAACAATCAAATTATATGTTGTAAACCTATATGGACCAACTCATACTTTGGAACTTATGCCACCCGACAGCTTTAAATCAAGGTATGCAATTTCAATTTCACTTTTACCGGTGAATAGATAGTTTAACTCCAATTATCATTTTGTTGCAATTTAGAGAGAGATGTGATCAGCTCAACAAATCCACTCAAAGTAAAGCTGAGGCTGCCTCCATTAGTGCAGGAATGAAGTCATTCTGGTTCTCTTGTTCCCAGGAAGCATTTAAAGTTTCAAGGTGATTAGCAGCACCACTAAATGACTAAATATGCAGATACTGAGAATTAGACCTTTTGCAAGCAGATGTGACAGAGAGATGGGAACAAAGGATAATTTTCCATTGAATTTTCTTACTAAAAATAGTTACTCCATTTTTTAAACTGTCCTCTTTAAAAACAGTAGAATCTCCCTATAATTCATTCCCTCCCCCCAAATTTCTTCCCACAATTTGCCAGTTATTCTTTAGCTTTCTTTTCCAGGCAGGGAAATTGAATGAGATTTTGTTTGTAAATATATTATATAAGAAGCCTTTTTATTTACGAAATTTAAGTAGGGAGAAAAAACATATTTTAAGTGTTAGAAACATAATTTAATATTAGCAAAATCTCCAGCAGTGAACAACTAATCAAATAATGTAGATTTTGAAATCCAGAGTGGTCGCAAATATCAAGGGTGATTCTTTCAAATATTGTATCCCTTTGAAAATTCATAACAGTCTTAAAGCTGGGATGAGATAGGCAAAGCTGATATAGGAAAATAGTTTCACACATATTGAGTGATACGGGGCTAAGCTCAAAGTTTATTTTGATGATGTCAAAAATCAATCAAAGCAGGGTGACTGATTCAAAAAGAAATTTCACTCAAATATTGTTCCATTGACATATTTGGAAAAAAATTCATCATAGTTGAGGATTTTCATAGAAAGTGCAGCCTATCGTATATGGAAATTTTTCCTACTTAAAATCTAGGAAAAATTTATGAAATGCTTATGCTTGAAGGGCCCTCATTAACTACTAATATAAATTGCTCTTTTAATTAGTGGAAAGGATGAGGCTGAGAGATTTTTAAAAATAATTGAGAAAGACCTTCAAGATTAGTTGATAGCAAAGTCAGAAAATGAGGTAAAGGCTATTTCAAGTTACAGAGCATTACATCCAGGTTCTGAGGGAAGACTTCACAGGACCATATGAACTGACATACAGAATGCAAGTACAGTTGACCAAATTAGATAGAAACTTCTACTTTTGAGCTCAGTCTACTAGCCATGAAAAATTCAGTCGCAAATGAAACAATTACAAAAACTATTGATAAAGAAAATGAGGTAAAGGCTATTTCAAGTTACAGAGCATTACATCCAGGTTCTGAGGGAAGACTTCACAGGATCATATGAACTGACATACAGAATGCAAGTACAGTTGACCAAATTAGATAGAAACTTCTACTTTTGAGCTCAGTCTACTAGCCATGAAAAATTCAGTCACAAATGAAACAATTACAAAAACTATTGATATTTTATGTGATCCTTATCTCATCTTTTTTTTTTCCCCCTGATTTATTTGATCCTCTGAATTGAAAGGAAATGGTACTAGTGTTTGGAATGTTTGAGTCACATCTCTACCACCATTTCATTATGTGATCTTGGACAATTCATTCTACTTCTCTCTGGCTGTGAATACCCTAATCTTGAAATAATAATGTATAGTTTTCATCAGTTTTTTTTAGGTCTTTGAAATGGAGGTCTATTTTTCAATAACCAGATTTCTTCCTGATAAGAGATAGTGATTCCTGACCATGATTATGTTATCTGAAAGAGTTTCAATGAGTTCACTAGATAGGCAATAGCAGAGTATCATCAAATGCAAAGATTCCTAAAGAGAGAAACAATTGTCATTATTGGAGTATTAGTTAAGTGTACATCTTTTTAAAATCTGTGATACAATATGATAAAATTAGTCACCTATTGCAAAGAAATAGCACATATCCTTAGATGTTAGAAATACAGTACACAGAATTATATATTGGATCCCACTGAGAGTAAAGAAAAATCCCATAAAGAAAAAACACTTAAATGTAATTCAAGTATATTGGTTTAGAAAGTCAGTCTACAGTTTGGAGAGTCATGTAATGCCTTATCTACACAGTGTACATAACAATTTTGCTTTTTTTCCCCTCTTGGTCTTATGTAAATGCCAACTGTGGCATGTGAAACTCACTAAAGTGTATGGTTTACTATTTTTGTTGGAATTCTCAAGATCGAAATTGACTCCAAAACTGGTATATTCAAATATTTCCCATGTTTCAGTTTTATGGAAATATATTTTCTTACTCATTGTTCCTCATGAGAGCTTTAGCCCAGTTCACAGGGAAAAAAAAAAAAGGTAATCAAAGAAATTTATATAATCTGGATTTAGCCCCTCCGAGCATACATATTACTTTGAAGGGGCCAGAAATACACAAACATGAAAAAAATAGAAATATTTGTGGTGTGAGTAAAAGAAAACTGCATTAACCTAGCCGCACATCAAGTGGAACTTAAAATCTTATTTTTTCTTAATTTTAGTTTGGATTATCAATATCTCTAATATTTATATTTAGTACTTTAACCATATGGAAATTTGCCTGAGAACTATTATCTTTTTCCTAGTTAGATAGACGTTTGAGTTCTAAAAGAACATACTATTTTTTTATAATTTCTTTATCAGGGTCCTGGAAATTAAAAAGGTGACATATTCAAGAGGAGTAATAAAATACAATTAATAAAGAGACCATTAACAAAGATGTAATATGATCAGGATGAAGGGGAAACTCACAGAGAATGAAAAAACAACTTAAGAGTCTGCAATAGCAGAAAAGTTATTACTGCCCCAGGACTGAACGAGTAAGGGGCAATCTCACTTATGAAACTTTGAGAGGCTTGCAGCTGGAAAACAGGATGAATCAGTAAGATCTGTCCACGGGTAGAACAGTTCAGTCATTGCCAAATAATACCCTAGTGGGTCCTGGTAATAAATACCCCACACTCTCCTCTCAAGCAGAGAACTCTTGTTGGCAAGGCAGCTTCATAGCAGAGTCCAGCCTCTGGAAACCATAGGAGAAGAGTTGGAGAATGGAGAATATTCAACACAAATAATTTAAACATAATATTTCCCTTAAAAAATTTACCATTGTTATTACTTTAAGGATGGGAGATGTCCACAGGAATACACAATGATTTCTCTGAAGCCATGTGAGAAGTGTTCTCTGTTTCTGTTTTGTCTCTCTGTCTTTGTATGCAGGTGTATGTCTTTCAATCTGTCTCTCTGTATACATATATACACATATACAGACACACATACATTTGTGATTTATCTACATAGTACTTGTGCTTCTGAAAATCTGCCATAATTTTTTCGTGTGCATTGTGAATCATGTAACTTGTTATGTTTTAATTATTTGCATTAGTGCATTTTGGACATGGAGTTAACCTATAGTAATATTTGCTTCCCTCTATAAGTTATTTTCCTTCACCTGTCTTTCTAATTTTCTTTACCATATTATCTTTAAATCTTTCTAAGCTAACTCAATTTTTTATATTTTTTGAGAATTTCAAATATATAAATTATTTTTATATCATTATTAATAATAATATTCCTGTATTTCTTAGTGGCAATATTCCTATAAAGCAAATTATTTTTATTTTTTAATGTATAAGTATGAAGACACATGTATTAATTTATTAGTAACATATTTTCCCCATACCCTATTTAGGCCATCAAATGCCCTCTCTTCTTATTGGACTTTGTATTATGTTCATAGCATAGGTACATGTATCATTTGAAATGCTGCTTAAACTCACAATAACATAATACTTAAATAATTAATTTATTTTGTAATAATTACATGAGTACTCTTTTTGATATGTTATCTGAGCATCCATTATTTTTTTATATTATCTTCAGATGACCTGTACAATGGCATTCGCTAAGATAATAAGAGAGCCTTATTTTATTACTCAGTATGGTTATAAACTTTTTTTCAGTTCTTCCTTTTTTTTCATTAGATTTGAAGTTCTTATATGCTCATCTCTTAGCCTTCTTCTTTCTAATAAAATCACCCTGATGACAATAATAATATTTGAATATATATGCACCTAGATAGAGAGGAAGATTAATAAGATGGCTATAGAAAGATGTTCTCTTATGATTTGAGCTACCTTATAAACTATATCCCCTCCCCCAAATAAAAGAAGAAGATTTGCTTTTAATTTGAAGCTGTTAGGTCATTTCTTTTGGTCTGTTGATTATTTATTTGGTTGGTTGATTTAATTATTTATAACAACTAGTGTTTATACTTATACTAGAAAAAGGTCCATGAGCTATTCTTATAATTGGGGAGAACATTCCTTCAACCAGATACATATACTCTAGTAAAAGAATGTAAAATAAATTTCAATTCATTATTATCATTTTAAAAAGAAATTAAAAATAAGTTTATCGGAGAAAGGCATCATTTATTTTTCCAATTTCTTGCTCCATACCCCCTTCATTTTAAAAAAACAAAATGTTAGTGATTCAGCTAAAGACCCTCCATCAAACAAATTCAGGTCATGAAAGCAAATTTTCTTCAGTAGTAATTCAGCCCAGAGTCTTATCTTTATTTGAATTATGGTCTGTGTTGATTCTTCAAAATGTAATATGGTATGAACTAAGATAATGACCCAATCCTCAGGCCCAGTGGAAGTTAGATGATTCATCTAATCTTAAGGAGAAGAAATGTTTTGTAAACTCTTATACTACAAGTTTAAAGTATTACAAGCATTCATTTTTTATTGGAATTTATAGCCAGGAATTTAAAAATAATTAAGTTCTGTAGAAAGATTTTTTTTTATGATAATGAATCATGCAGATTTTCCCATAAGCTAGGCATTTGTTACATTTTTTGAGAAAGTGATTATTCTTAATGTTTAGTCATCTCCAGGCTGAAGAATAAAGGTTGTGGTTTGTCTTTGGTTTCTCGTTACTCTGTCTTTGACATTATTTTATTTATTTGAAAACTTTCTTTAGTCACCCACCCTTTGGAATCCATTGTTCTTAGCATTTACCAGTGATGTTACAGTGTCATATTTCCCTGTCACTCTGGGCTTGATACTACCATGCTTTCTCTTCCTATTTGATTTACATATGTCTAGTCTACATCTCTTATTCTTCCAAGGTATATCTGTGCCTTCCAAGAAAATTTAATTAATAAATGTATTTATGTTCATGGAAGTGTCCTAAATAGCTCCTATTACAAGTAATATATGGCCATCAATGACAGTAGCTATGAGTTGGCTGTGAATGCCATCACAGTACACTTATGGGCAGAGATCCTGGATTATCTGGAGGAGGATGAACTCAGTGTAACTATATGTGTACAAAAATTACATTGCAAACAAAGAGTACTGATCAGACAGGAAGCCAGTGACAACACAGGTGTAATTTCTAACATACCTGTCTGCTGGTGATGCAGGTGACTCCATTCCACATACACTTGTGAACAATTAGATCTCCTGTGCCAGACCACCCAGCTGATAGAAAGAAAGTCTTTCTTGACTTGAGTGTAATCCCTCTAACCCGCTTGTGTCTGTCTCTGTGGCTCAAGAGGACCAGATCCTCGAGGACTTCCTGGGTAATCCAGAGCCATGGAGACAAGGAACAAGCAGGAAAGCCAGTTAAAAGAAAGGGACACTTCTGCTGGCCACTGGTCGTGGGACACCAGATCTAATGTGTTCATGAGATGGCATTCCAGGAGGACAGCCACATCTGCAGCAGGCAGGCCAAGGAGTGACATTTCCAGGTAAGGGCTCTTCCCTAGTCCCTCAAGCAGAGGAAGCCTGAATACCTATTAGCAAACTGAATAAATAGATATGAATCATAAATATATGCATGCAGGATCCTGGGACAAATATAGAAAGAATACAGGATATGATTTAATTGGTAAATGTATCTTTTCTCCCTTCTTATGTGTCAAGTTCTACCTTAACTTTCATTTTGAACATTTCCAACACTTTATCATAGAAATTGCAATGATTTGAAATTATTCCTGAAAGTCTACAAATTCAATTTTGGGGAGAACACTCATTCTTTAGATTATAAATATGATATATACTAAGATATCTCAAATAAGAATAAATTCTGCTTTTGAACATAGATACATAATGCATGAACATACAAAATAATCACATTATTTATTTAAAAATAAATATGTGCTATGACTATAAATTAATGATTTTTAACTTAATATTACACTTCAGTTTGTGTTCCCTGTAAAAAAAAATCATTTACTCACAAGATTTGTACTGATTGAATTTTGATTGCTTTTCCAATATGAAATCCTTTATAAAAGTCAAGATTTCCCATCATAAGTAATAAATATAAAAGCTGTCAATGTCTGTGAAGATGATACAAAAATGATATTCTTGAAACATTTTACTCGAGGGCTACTTTGAAAGAGAAAACACTCAAGATGAATATTTAAATTCTGTTTTGTTGTTAATGTTATTATTTATTTTAAAAATTCTCCATGTTAGTTTATCTCACTTGGCTCGAAAGATAATATTACCCACTTTAACTAATTGAGACAAATGTCTGATTCGGTTTGAAAATATTCTCCATACCAATTCTATCTAGATTTTTCCATAAATATGACCTCTTTGATTTTTCAGCTTCAGTCAGTTGTTTACAATAATTGTATTATTTTTACTTCAATTCAAACAATATTTATACTAATTAATTGGAAACATACAGTGTCAGAATTTGGCATTTTCTTTTCTGATTGATTATAGTATCCACTATCATTTTTCTCCATGTTAAATCCTTTAGATAAATCTCTTAAAGTTTAATACCTATATTTTATCCGTTTTAATAGTCACACTGCCAAGTACAATAATGCACACAAAATAAATTGGTTTAAACAAAATACAGTGAAAATGAAGAAGGCATCATTCTTTGAAGAACTGCAAGACCCATTGATTTGGGCAAAGATTAATCCTAAACTAGTTGCTTATTTAATTCAAAGTTGCCTTGTTAACTCTATTTAGGAAACATTACTATGATTACACTGTCTTTCTAGGCAGTTTTCAAGTGGGACTTAGCTGGTTGTAAAAGCTTCCAGATGTCTCAAAGAGATTGTTGAAGAAAACATGATAGGCTTTACTGTATGACAAGTTATGCTTGTCCTTCCATTGACATCTTTATCTTGATAGGATAAAAGGTTTTCTAGAGGAAATAGTAACTACTCAGTATAGTTAGAAATGTAAAATTCATGTAGTTGAATGTCTAACCCAGATCTGTTTAAGAACAGGTGATTTGTATTACAATGTTTTTCTTCCACATGGATTTGTTTTTTAAGTTACATAAAAAACAGGTGGATTAATTTTAAGATACTACTCATGAATGGCATTTTTATAGCCAATGCTAAAGCATCTCATCTATTCTGAAACTGGGCAAGTTTGTTGGAAAGCTGTTGTCTTTTTACTTTTTATTATAAATTGAATCAATATTGTTGATTATATTTTGTTCTGTGTGGGTTGTGAATTTTCTGATATATTATGTAAATTTCCAAGCAGAATCTACAATGAAAGAAATATAAACTTATAAAGGAAAAAAATATTAATTTCCTCAATTTACAACCAGCTTAAGGACATCATAGGTGCCACTAATTAGTAGCCTCACTGTCCTGAATATTCAGTAGCTCATCTCCTTCAGTTGATTCCTTTTTGTTGTTGTTGTTATGTTTTAAGTTATTTCAAATAAATAAGTTTTAAAAATATTGTAAAAAATACTGTGAATAAGATTGGGACTGGCTTTTTGCTCACAACTGACAAATACCAAAACAAACCATTCATAGCTCTGTATCCCAAGTCACCATAGATAAAGTGAAATAACATGAAGGTCATACATAAGAAATAAGTCAAGAACAAGCTTTGCCTTTTAATTGATTATTGATTATACTTTAATGAAATAAAATAAAATGTACCTTAGAAAAATTATACTTCATTTCTATGTATATTAGTACTAGTAAGTAGAAATAACAAATTATTCATAAATCTGGCATCTTGATTATTTTTATCTTTCCAAGGATTTTTTTTTTCTGGAAATCATTCACTTTCAATGTTATTCTCAAATTTTCTGTATATTTATATATGTATGTATATGTACATATGCTTACATACATACATAAACACACACATATTTGTATGTGTATATGTGAATATTTGAAAAAGCAGATGTGTATATACGCATAAATAGAAAGTCATATGATGTAACATTCTTATAGCGTTTCATTTATTCTTGCATATAACAAGTGTATATTATTGATATTATACAGATTCTCTGACTCTAAATGTAAATTTTAATTTTTGTTTCCAAACTAGAGAATACTATATCACAATGGTTAAATGGGTAAGCAATACCAAGACAGTGGTCAGATGGTTAAACCGACCTCAAAACGTCTCCATCCTCACAGTCTGTGAGACCACAACTGGTGCTTGTAGTAGAGTGAGTATAATTTATTTTTTTATGTGTTTAAAATGAAATAGTTTATGATATCATTCTGAGAGATATCAGGTTATACTTTGTGCAAAGACTTCAATATTTAACTTCAAAAGTAATAGAAAAAGAATTATTCTATTAGGAGTATATGCTTTAATTCCATAAAGATTTAAAACTTTGAAGTTAGAAATATATATGATAAGCAGAAGAAAACAAAGTAACTTAAAAAAATGAGTTCTTATATAGTATATAAGATATTCCAAGACACATTAGTTTTATTCTCAAATATGGATATCTCTTTGTATTTTGGCTTTGATTAACTTGAGAAAGTGGATGTTTCTTTCCAGTCTTCTTTAAACACATTCCAAAAATTCATTTTTTTTGTATTCAGATTAGTCTTCTTAAATAACAGTGTCTTGAATAAAAAAAAAAGAAAGTAAAAACTAATTTTTGAAACACTGCATTTTAAAAGTAGGTGGCATTTAGATTTCTATAATTAGTTTTTGTAAATTCATCAATAAATTCTATACGTGTCATTTTAAGTTTCTTAGTAGAGGAAATACTGTAATCAGTTTAAGTTGTTATATTATATATGTGGTACTTAGTAAAGGAGTCCCAATTATTTAACAATAGAATTTTCAAACTTCTGTTTTGGGACAAGATGGAGTAAATGTTATCAGACTGCCAGCTCTGCTGCAATCAGCTACAAAACTGTACAAAATACATTAAACATCTATGTTCAGATGTTGGAGAACAGGAGGATCAGGACATAAATGGTGAAATAAAGTAAATACATAAGATGAGCCTAAAGGACTACCTCTTGGTGACACTTTTGAGATCATAGTGCAAGGAGACCTAGCCCAAGAAAAGCACAGTAATAGTCCCTAATGTAAATGGTAATTTTGATTTTGATTTTAAGTAGGCAGGAAGAATCAGAGTTTGAGGCCATCCGTGGCTGAAATTTGCAAGACAAGTAACACAGAATTTGGAGCTACATAGAGAATTCCAGCTATCTACGTAAAAGACTTAAATCTTTACCTCAGTGCAAATCAAATAGAAAAACTGCAGGCTGCACAATGCTGGAAAACTTTGGAGTTCTGAACAGCAAAAATGGAAAACTCTCACTGGAAACCTGCCCATTTAACTCAGGACCCAGAGAGAAAATGCATTAGGAATAGGGCTATTTTAGACTCCTTTCAATAAACCTTTAAATCAAACCTTGAAGGAATTAAGTTCATGTTCCTGTAAACTACCTGTCTACAAGACTTTACAGAAAAGAATATTTTGACTGATATCGCTCATAAACATACATACAAAAATATCCTTAAACATATTGATATTTTATTCACAGCACAATAGAGAATAGCACATCATGACTAAATGGGGTTTATCCTGAGAGTTTAAGATTGATATTGAAAACCAATCAATGTGATTCATATTTTAACATAAAAAAGAAGAAAAGTAAATAATTATTTTAGTAGATTCAAAAAAAGCAATTGACAAAACTCAGCACATTCATATCTTTCAACATAAATGAATAGAAAGTAGTATCCCCAATCTGATAAAGGATAACCACAAAATAGCCCATTAAATATCATTTTCAATGGTGAAACATTTTTTCTTTTTTATCTTAAGAACTGCAGTAAGGTAAGGATATATATTCGATTATGCAAACTTTACTAAAGACTGTAATTAGAGCAACTTGGCAAGGAATGAATATCATGATAATTGGTAAGAAAGAAGTAAAACTATTTGTAGATGGCATTATTGTATAAATAAAAAGTAAAAAAGTGTATAAAAAATACTAGATTAGGTCACAACTCACAAATCAATCTACTTCAATTGTTTTGTTTCCTCATTTTGATCATTTTACTGTTAAAAATAGGTAAATATGTAGAAAACTGTAATTTTCCTAAGAAATACTCACTAATTAGTTATGGATAATGGATACAATACCTCAAGATTGCTGTCAAATTGTTTAGAAAAAAATAATATTTCTCTAGAGGACAATCTGGTGACAGCCAGAGAGGAAAGGGGTAGGGGAGTTGGGAGAATGAGGTGAAGGGTTAAAGAAGTACAAATCAGTAGTTGATAGAGGGTCATGGTGATGGGGAGCACAGCATAGGGAATGCAATTAGTATTAATGTAATGCTAAGTGGAGAACCAGAGGAGAGAATGAGCAATTAGGGAGATCGTTTGATAAACTTTATTAATGTCTAACCAATGTACTATATACTTAAAACTAATAATAAAAGAAAAAGAAAAGAAATAGCATTGAAATAAATTGCAAATTCAAATGTAAAAAGAATAGTATTTCTCACTTTTTAATTTATTTTGAAAAAATATAATTCCACCTTCTCAAATGATTTAGAAACAGTAGAGAGACAATAATAAAGCAAATGTAGCAAAATATAAACATAAATAAATGAGGAATATCTCCAAAGGATATACAGATGTTTCTTAAACTGGTCTTTTAACTTCTCTGTAAGTTTGTACTAGTTTCAAAATAAAGAATTAAGAAGCAACAAAATAAATTTCTATATAGTTGTAATATTATGATAGGAAATAAACAAAAATACCATAAAATGTTTAAAACATTTAATAATAAGGATAAATTTAACAAATAGTGTGCAAAATTCCAATATTGGAAACTACAACATTGCTGAAAGTCATTAAAGAAAACCTAAATAAATAGAAGCTATGCCACATTTTTGACTTGAAAAGCCTAATATTGTAGATATTAATTCCACTTAAATTGAACTATAGTTTTAATGTAATACCGATTAAAATCCTAGCAGACTTTTTTGTTAGAAACAGACAAGCTGGTTCTAAAATATACATGGAGATGCTAAAGCCCTGATGAACCAAAACAATTTTGTAAAAAAAAAAAAAAAAAATGTTGGAAGAGTTGCACTACCTGATTTCATGAACTAGAAAGCCGCAGAAACTCAGACATTGTACTAGAGGCATAAGGACACACAAATATAGATCCAGAAATAGATCCTTATTTACATGATCAAACTAATTTTCAACATAGGAGCCAAAACAATTCAATAAGGGAAAATGGTACTGGAACAATCAATAACCAAATGAAAAAAACAATGATATTTGATATCTATCTCATACTATAGTCTAAAATTAATTTGAGTTAAATTGCATTTCTAAATCTCAGAGCTCATTCTGTCAATCTTCTAGGTGAAAAATATGGAATATTTTTACTATATAGAATATGAAAAAATAATTAAGCATAAAAGGGAAAAAGAATGCATTAGATATCATCGAAATTAGAAATTTCTCATCAAAGTCACCATTAAGAAATTGAACATCTAATTACAGACTATAAGAAAATAGTTTGCAAAGTGTGTAACTGATAAATATATACATCTCAATAATAAAACAACAACCCAATAAAAAGTTAAAAACATGTTGAATAGATACAAGGGTATAATAAATGAATGAAAAAGTATTCAACATCATTAGACATTAGGAAAATATAGATTAAATCCTGTTTCTACCAAAGTGTTTATAAAAAAAAACAATCTTTAGATAAGCTTTATTCACAATAGCTAAACACTGGAAACTATTAAATTGTCCATTAATAGTGAACAGATGAACAAAATGAAGCATAACTATACAATGGTATTCTACTCAACAATCTAAGAAGAAACAAAATACTGACGTACTGAACAATATGAACGAATCTCAAAAACAGGTGTGAAAGAAGCCCCACATAAAAAAGTACATAATATATGATTTCAATTATCTGAATTTCTAAAAAAGGAATATTAATATATAGGAAAGAGTTCAGAAGTGTGTTGCCTTTTTGAAACCTCTGGGAAGGGGCATGAGAGAATATGTGAGGAAATGTAAAGGTCTTATATCGCAACAACATGTAAATAAGTCAAAATTTAAGATTTATACATTTCACTATAATCAAATTATATGTCAGTATTTTAAAACATAGTTTTTCATGGTCTATAAAAGAGAGAAATGAAGAGAAAGAAATTTATCTTTGGAATGATGAGGAGACATGTAGAAATGAGATAGATGAGTCCACCATTTACTTACTGGGTTTCACTGATACTTTTCTCATTTAACTTGTATTTATTAAAAAATTTATTTCAGTCACCCTCATTAACCTGGCTAGTTTATACACTGACTAGAATTTCACCATTTATTAGTTAAACTGTTCTGGAGAGTTTCTTATTCAGCCAATTACTAACTCATTTAAAAATTGGCATGCACATGTTTTAGTTAGAGAAAACCTATCATCTCTATAGAAGAATGATCTATATAGGTAACTGCAAGGATATATTAAAATGCTTCAATAAAAATTATAGGAACCGTATAATATTATTGATTTGACTCCCTATTAATATTCTATTTAATTTCTTTTATGGAGTTAAAATATTTACTTTCTGCTGTAAATGAAAAAAGACAAATAATTGCATGTGAAATTTAGTGCTCTCATGGATTCTAACAAAACAGTAATACTAAGGAATAGTGGCAATTAATATGTTTTGTGTCTGTGTTTTATAGATATCAAGAATGGTTATTGCCCATGTGCACATAGAAAATCAAGGAATGATTTATTTATTTCTCTATTATCTGCATGTAGAAAAAATCTATTGAAAAGGAAAAGATCTTGAAAAGAAAAAGTGGTCAACTATAATCTAATAATAATAAGCCTTTTAAAAGGAAAACTGGTTAAAAACACTATAAATTAAAAAAAACACACTTTTTATTAACAATTGTAAATTAGTACCTCTGCATACAGGTAAATGTCACATATATTGTGATTTTTTTTTTTCTTCATTTGAACACTTTTCTTATAGAATCTTTTTCCCTCAGAAAAAAATGACTATGTTTAAGAGTTCATTGAGTGTTGAAAGAATGTCCATCTTTTAATTTTTTTCTTGGCTGTTGTTCAGTTCTTTCGAAGGATTTAGTAATTTTCTTTCCTGATGTTGCCTAGAGGTAAAAAGAAATAATGTTGAGTGGTTCAAAACAGTTCAAATGAGGTAACCAAACAGAGCTAGGAAAAGCTCCATCCCTGGTGGCATACTACTGGGAATACTGAAGGAGTTCACCAAAGACTTTATAATTAAATTATCATTTAATCACAATTCTCTAATTATTTATTCAGTTTAAAGCAGTAATGACAATGGGGTCTCTCATGGTATTTCAGCAGTCGAGAAGAGAAAAAAAAATACCTGAAGGATAACAGTGTAAAAATTGTTAAATTGGTGCATGCTTATTTGGTCTTTAGATGCTTCATGGAGTTAATTTTTTTGTTTCAGAAATACGAGATGACATCAGATACATGGATCTCTAAACAGGTATAACATAAGTGGTCTCTTTATGTCACATATTGGCAATTATGCCCATCCTGTTCACCCATTTGTTATTTGATAACTTTCTCTGAAAAATTATTTTAGTAATATGATTTAAGGCTTTGCTATGTTTGACTGTCTATTCTATGAAAATATTTATGACTTGGCTTTTCTATGATGTCATTTGTGAAAAGAAAACTGTTTTCTGTAGGCTATAAGTTGCAGAATAAGTACCAGGATCCATTTTCAGGGTCATTCATATAAGTGAACTTTTGTGTAGATGAAAGAGAAAAAGCTTCAACTCATCAAAACTAGAAACCATCAGAATTGCTCTAATTGCCCAGAAAAAAATGACCACACATCTCCGTAAATTGGTTATGTGGAGGTTATTCAGATGAATACTTTTTTCCTTAGATGTATCCTAGCTAACAATGCTAATTTACGGCATAAATGAGTCTGGAATCCAGATGATCACAATAGAAAAACTACCAAATGTCTTTACAACATGGTCCCATACTGGACATTTTAGAAGGAATCACAAGTAGATTACCCACATATGCCTAAACACATATTACTACTAACTTCACTACTTTTTGCAAAGAGAAATGTTTTGTTTTGTTTTGTTCTTTACAGTGATCTTTTATATTCTCTCCCTAGGTGTTTTATATATATGTGTGTGTGTGTTGTGTGTGTG